AGCCACCACCACGAACACGCCATTTACTACACCCCCGGGGACCGGATGCGCGGGGACCGGCTCTCTGTGACGCGTTTGCTCAAGGATAAAGCTGCTTCGAACGATTTACCGATGTCACCGATATACCCCAGGATGGGGACGGTTGTCGAGTGTACTTACTGTGCGTTCAGTTTTAGGGAGATCGGTTGTTTGATGTTGTCGGTTAGAGGGTCTAGAAGGGTTGAACGAACGGGGAGGGGGTTGCGTTTCGGGGGGTGGAAGAGGTGTTTCGGTGCTGATATGATTAGGAAATGGGGTTGCGTGTGTTGATTTTTTTAGGGGGGGAGAGAAGAATTTTTATAGGGGGGGAGGGTTGTTGGTTTTGGGTACATTGGGTACATTGGGTACATTGAATCGTAGCTTGTTTTTAGTTAGTCTGGATCTTTTTGAGGTCCATGTGATCAGAAAATATTGTTAACTATGATTTTGAAAAGATCATGGTGAAAATTGTAGTTGGGAAATTTGAATTTTTAATTAGATGTGAGTAGGTAACTGTATGAAAGATGTCAGTTGTGATAGTTGAATTGTTTGGTATATAGTCTTTTTTTTGGCAAGAAAATTTCTGACAATATATCCAGATAATTTAAATATTATTGGGTAACTATGATCATGATAAAAATTGTACTTGGGAAATTTGAATTTTTAATTAGATGTAAGTAGGTAGCAGTATGAAAGATATTAGTTGTGATAGTTGAATTGTTTGGTATATAGTCTTTTTTTTTTTGGCAAGAAAATTTCTGACAATCTATCCAGATAATTTAAATATTATTGGGTAACTATGATTTTGAAAAGATCATGATAAAAATTGTACTTGGGAAATTTGAATTTTTAATTAGATGTGAGTAAGTAACTGTATGAAAGATGTCAGTTGTGATAGTTAAATTGTTTGGTATATAGTAGTCTTTTTTTTTTGGCAAGAAAATTTATGATAATCTATCCAAATAATTTAAAAGGAAAATAATACTATTACTATTTACAGACACTGTAATATACTACTTTTCTTCAATTATAATAATAATAAATATCTTCAAATGTTTAATCTAATTTATCAACCTAAAGAAAAACTATTTTTACCATATTTATACAATTAAATAAATATACACACCATATTTTAATATTTAGAACAATAAAAATCCTAACCATAAAATATAGACCAAAAGAAATAGTTTCCAATCCATAATTACCATATCACTACTAAGTACTAACCAGTAGTTCCCATCCCACCCCGTGCAATCAGAATTCCACTCCTCCATATATCTCCCAACGGTTAAAACAGTTAAACCACCTACAACAATCAATACCTCAATGCCCCATACCTAAACTCCAAAATCCTCGCACCCCCATACACAACATATATATACACACTCACTTGAAACTTTCTCTCCAACCTCCATCATCCATACCAACTGCTATCCAAATCCTCCAACCAGGCCAGAATCGCTGAATTGTCGCGGTTCTAAGCGAAAAGGTGGTAAGAAAATTCAGTTATGCGTGGACGCACACTGGACCGAGTCTAGGTGGAGTTGTGGACGGGGGGAGGGGGGTGGCAAGGCGTGCGTCGCCTGGACAAGGACGTGTTCCGGGATCTCCCCGTGACCGGGAGTAGCCACGACATTCCAAAATGCTTTCTCCCACTCCACCCCTCTGTGCTCGAGTTCCTGCGCCGTATCACGGCTGACCCGGCCATTCCCTATCCTTCATCCGCGTATTTCCATCCCTCTGCCGACGGGCGCACCGAATGCAACCATGCGTCATCCGCCATGATCTATGCTTTCTGCCGCGCTGGCATTACGCTTCGCGTGCACGCGCGACCGCGCGACTTACCGCTTCGTATGTATAGGTGTATATATCCGTTTGCGTACAGGGTGTTTCACAAGTATGTGTCGATCTAGGCAAATGGAATAGAATAATGTTCGCTCGGGTGATTATGGATTGAATTTGGATTAGAAATAGGTGTTCTGGAAATGAAATAGAAAAGTGAAAGTAGTTTGTAAAAGTGTCTGTTTTTTGTACAGGGTGTTTCACAAGTACGTGTCAATCTAGGCAAATAGGATAAAAACAATGTTCGCTTAAGTGACATTGAGTTTGGATTAGTTATCCATGGAGATAGTTTATGTATAGGCGTCTGTTTATGTATAGAGTGTTTTAAAAATAAATCTTAGATGGTATTGGATTGAGTTTAACAGTTATCCATAAAAATAAGTGTTTTGGGATTAATATCTTGTAGAAATAGAAAACTATTTATGTACAAAATGTTTCAGAAATACATGTTAATGTTTCAGAAGATTTATTTAGATATATTAAAATACAATATTGCTTATTTAATTAACATTAATTTGGTTTTGTCTTAGTTTTTGAATTATGAATAAAAAATTGTTATAATAAAAATAATTGTTATTTTCTCTATCCTTTTTTATAAAACGTTCAAAAAATGAAAATCTAACAGACTAATATCAGGAAATAAAATATAACCATATAATAGATCCATTTTATTCACGAATTTTCAAACTTTAAACATTTTGTTTTGATTTTTTAATTATTTTTTTAACATTTTTAAAATATCTTTTGAAATATTGACACATATTTTTTAATTATCCTATGTAAATACAATTTACTCGTGTTTTTATATTTGTATATATTTTCTTTATATACATATGGGGTTGGCATTTATATAAGGACGCATTTACATCGGTTGGTCACGGAGTTTAGAGATATAGGCGTGTGCGTGGCCATCTCTGTCCGCCCGTGCTCGCGTCTCTATTAAAGCTATGCTCATTTTCAACGGCTTGTGTATATTGTGCCCGCACAACCATCCTCTGCGAATATTTAGAGAGCTCGATGAAACAACACTGAGCAGGATGATCTGTGACATCTGAATATCCCTCCACTTTTTTTTTTTTTTATCTTTGAACGATATAATCTTTTTTTTTTTTTTTTTTGAATTTATGGGCAAGAATAGGTGACAGTGAATTTGGAATTTTTGGTTTTCGGAAATTATTAATGTTTTAGAATTTTTACTTTGAATTTATATTATATTTATATTATTTGGTTTGAGAATTCACCTAATGTTTGCACGTAATCTTATTTATATATGAAATTTTTAACTAATAGTCGACATACATATTTACTCTCATAATAGTAGATTCATCTTAACCTAAAAATTCCTTACTTGATCATTCTTATTTTTATCATACTTTCAACAAACAATACTTACTTTTACAATCATTTTATCAATATACCTTCATCAAAATTCAAAATTCTCATTTCTAAATTATCATATATTTTCAACCAACAACAATCCATATTTACTTTTTATAATTATCTTCATCATCCTCCAATTAAAGTCCAACACTCAGCCAATCCGAAATTATCATCTCGTCACACATTGAAGAAGCTGAAAAGCCAAAGCCAAAGCTTTCGTATTCGTCGGTGGCGCCCGAGATTAGAGGCTCGCGAGGAACGCGACACGATGCAGTTTCCCCCATCATCGTCGTACGCGGCGTGTACACGGGGGTTTGTCGCCGCTTTCAAGGGATCCGGTATTGCGGTCGGAACACCGAACAGCGCTCGAGGCTCTTCCGGGGGCTTAACACACACACTCCACCCCCTGTAGGCGGAGTGTACCGCCTACGAGCTTCCCCTACCACCTATCCAAGCACTGATACGCGATATCAAGGAACACTTGTTGCTCCACGGCGTACAGAGCGAATCTCCCGCGCCAACTCCCGTACCACGATTTTTCACGTGCTGATTTTTCCACCACCCTCGTCCACGAGCCACCCCACCTCCCCAATGCGTAACGTTGATCTCGTTCCATCTCGTTAAACCCCGCGAAACGGTGAAATTTTCGCGCGCTTCTATCCACTGCTGATCGTCTTGCCTCGTTCCGCCTCGGTTAATTTCGTTTCCACTCGGTCTCTCTCGCTCCCGATCGGTTAATTTCGTTCTCGCTCGGTCCGTCTCGCTCTGTGCCGTGGCTCGCGGCTGTTCGCCCGTCCTTGTTTACATCATTGGTACACTCAGCCCGGTTTCGCCGACCGTTTGGGTGCGTGGTGCGTGTTGGCGGGTATCGGCGATATTCCAGCCTCGAAAACGAGAGAGCCGCGCGGATTCCGTCACGCGGCCACCGCAGACCCGAGATATGTCCGAGGTGCGACGGTGTAAATCTTATTCGTTCGCCACTATGCGAGGCCAACTCGAGGATCGGGATGCGCTGATATGATACGCGCGCTGCCACGCCACGGGGCGAACCGTTCAGAGTAATTCGATTCAGTCGTTTGTTTATAGTCTTTCGTTATTATGTTATTTTTTTATCTTTCTTCTTTTTTCTTTTTTTTCTTTTTTTTTTTTCTTTAGATGAATTCTGTGAGATAGTCGGAAGTGAATATATATGTTTGAGAGCAAATTTATTTTATGTTGATTTTATATATGATTGGGATAATAATTTTTTTTAATGAATTTGCATTTCAATAGATAATTTCTAGGTGTTTTTCTTTCTTATATACGTAAATATATTATGAACAGTGATCGCTAGAAGAATACAACAACACATTTGAGGATAGTATGGTATATGATTGTTGAGGATATTGAAAGTTCATTTAATTTGGATATATACACGGGGCATTCCAATTCAAAAGATATTGTTATCTATTAAATATAGTATTTTAAATATTAATGTTTCTAATACATTACATTTTAAAATTATACATCTATTAAATAAATTTTCGATATCACCAAAGATATTTTGCAAAATATATACTCACTTTTAATCTTCTTTCATTTTTATATCTAATTTTTTTTTCTTCGTTTCTTTTCTCTTTATCTTTAGACATGTGAAAGGAACAGATTTTGTTTTTGTCTCTTATTTTACCGGATCAAAAGAGGAAAATTTAAAAAGATTGTACACGTGGATGAGATATACAGGGGAGCAGAGAACTAACGAATGTGGTTAATTGTTACAGGCAGTGCGGTGGCTGCAGCCGACACCATTTCCGCGCCGTGGACTCCCACGAGTTCCGGGCCGCCGCCCGACGCGAACGGCTCCGGCTCGGATACCAAGAACCTCGACGTTGGCGAAATTAGCGATGTAAGTTCAATTTTTTCAATTATCTTCGAGTCATCATCAACTTATTCTTTCATCTTGAATATTTTTTTTTAAGTAGCTTCAACATACTTTGCTGCGAAAGATGTTATCTTGAGATTTTGTTGATATAACCTCAAAATTGCGTTTTTATTAAAGTTATTATTAAAATTAAAAAACTTAATATGGCACTTCGATATTACGATATTCTTAATTGTTTATATATTTATTAATATTGTTAATTATATTATGATTTATAACAAAGATTAAAGTTATATTAAACATTTCACGATAGTTATTTTCTAATAACATTTTCATTCATTCGTCGTGTAATATAATTGTTTATGCATTTGTATTATTGATTATCGCTGTACAATTTATATTAACCGAAAATTAGAATCAAAAACATTTGATCAATAGTTTTTCTAACAGTATTTTCTTCGCAAAAATTTTTCTTATTGGCTTGATTGGTATTTTTCAGGACGAGAAGGACCTATCGGCAGCGGACGCGGAAGGTGTATGGTCGCCGGATATCGAGCAGAGCTTCCAAGAAGCTCTCACTATATATCCGCCATGCGGCCGACGCAAAATCATCCTGTCCGACGAAGGGAAGATGTACGGTGAGTCGAGCAATTTCCTGACAAATCTCTCTTCCACATTTTCGCTAGGGTGATCGAAATAAAAAAAATAGGGTCGTGGAAGACGATGAAAAGAGTATTACGTGTGTGTATATTTATATATATATATAGATCGTTCTGTTTCATATCTATGAAATATACAGGGTATTAATATATTCTCGTGACAGTTTTTTTAGAGAATTGATTTTAATTTGACCAAAAAAACAAATACAAAAATAAAAAAAAATTGCTTGAAGCTTATTTGTTAAGCTTATTCACAATTTAATAAGAATTTAAATAGAGTATTTTAAAGATTTTCCAATTATTCCAAAAATATTTCATTGCACAAGAAAAAATTGATTCAAAAAAATTTTATTACTTTGAGGCAAAAGTAAGAAGAAAGTGAAATACCCACGTACCCCATAAGTCGATCGAAAATCCATCAACCCCAATTCTTATAAAAAAAAATGGAAACGAAAAATCGTTCAAGAAAAGATGGAGAAAAAAATAAAAAGAGAAAGAAATCGAAAATATCACGTGTCTCCCATATAAGGTGACCAAAAAATTCGTTAAGGGGTAGCGGAAAGAGATGGTGGAAAGTGGTAGGAGGGTGGGTGAAACTATATTGGGACAAAGATGCTGGTCAAGGGGGCTATCTTTCGAGGCGTGGCATTATTGCCTCGGTGGTGAGCTCATGGCGGTTAATGTTGGTGACTACGGTGGTACCCGTGGTCGTAGGAGGCAATATCTGCTCGGTCACGTAGACTGACCTCAGCATCGAGCAATAACGACGCCCGCCTCGACGTTTCTACCATCGCGCTTAGTACGTGAAGCATAAGGATCCTTCGTCTAAGGATATTTTTTTTTTTCCTCCATGCGATATTATTTGCGAACGAATCTGTCACTTTTGCTGTGTGGAATATTTTTACCTTGATTTTTGTTTGGATTGATTTTTTTTTTTTTTTTATGGTATTTCAGTCTCTTATGTTATACGAGTTTGTCTAAAAATATAAAAGTATAAACACGATAAAATAACTTCATATTATAAATTATATAATTTAATTTTTTTTTATTTGAGTTGATATAATTGTGTATTTTTAATTAAAGATATCTTTTTTGTTAGTTTTTTGTCAATTATGTTTTTTGAAAATTAAAATCTTGAAAATTGATGACTCTTTTGAGTGAAGTTATTCTTTGAAGTTAAAGAATAATTGTAAGAATATAATTTTTTAAGAGACAGTTATCTATGTAACATCCTTGTAAAGAAAAGGTTACATTTCACTAATACTTCTCGATCTTTCTCCTCAAAGGAAGTAAAAATTTTCCTCGACACCGAAACCACTCGCTCAATAGAACTTTTTCCCCCCAATCCTCCACTTCCGGTCCTTCTTGCCCCTTGGATGTTCCCGCGTATTTTTTTTCTTTTTTTTTTTTTTTTTTTTTTTTCGACCAGATGTAGGCTTGAATCCCCATTCGTTAAGGCACAATGTCGCTTAATTTTCGAAAGCACTCCGCGACGAAAGCCAAAGGGTGGCAATTCAATCTTGGCCCGTGGCCGCTGTGAAAACCAAGCTTAATTCGACCGTCTGCCCTGCTAACAACTCGCGAGTCGAAAACAAGGAGGAAGACAATCGACAAAGCCTTGTATCGTCGTTTTACCACCTCTGTTTTATCTTTTTCTTTTTTATACGCCATTCTATAAAAAAAATATTTCATTTTATGAAAGCAGTTTAATTATGTTTTTTTATCATTAAATGCAGTGTGATAGTCATGAATTAAAAAATTAATTAGAATTTAATATGAGATTACCTTTATGTAAGGAAGGGAAAATTAATTAAAGGGAGAAAAAGAAATATCATCTTTGTTTATTGAGTTATTGCTGCATTCTAGAGATGTAAAGATGGAATTCTAGGGTGCACTAGGGGCAGGTTTAGTTATTAATAATGGATTTCTTTATAGGAATTTATAACGTGATTATTATTTATAGTTATTTGGCATACTAGCTAGTTGGATCTGTGATAATAATCATGGTGGCTATGATCATTCTTTTAACTTCAATGCTTAGTGATAGCTTTTGCTTAGTGATCTTTTGTTTCCAAATTATGTTGCATTATTTTTCAGTCAATCGATAAAGATACAAAATTTATAATTTGCAATTTGTTGAACACGTAACATTCTTATGTAACATTGAATGTACACTCAAGAAAATGTCTTTTCCATTCTATCTAACATTACTTAGTAATTTTCTTCTTTCATTAATAATTCATCAATGATGAATGGCCCGACAATGTTGAACTATAATCCTTACAATTTATTCTATTCGAGTAATTTGCATCGTGTTGCACAATAAGCATTGTTCCAATCTTGTATGAATGTAATCCATAACCGAGATAATAAGATTTGTTAAAATATCAGTAGTTAAAAATATCCAATAAATAATTGTTAATGCAAAAAAAAAGGCGAATTTGTAGAAGAAAAAAAAAATAGGAAAAAGAATTAAGCTTAAAGTTGGGGAACAAAATTCCAATATTTTCTCTCCGAACGCCATTCAATTGAAAAAACCAAAACTTTCAAAGCATACAAATATGAAAAGGCATGGGATAAATTTCCAATAATTCCCGAATTTTTTTCGTTTATAAATATATTTTTCAAAACCAATGAAATATCAAAACTCACGATTCAACAATTTCCAACAATTCACTCGAATTATTTTCAATCTAGAAAGAAACCATACGTATAGAATTAAAAAAACAATAAAAGCTTAAAAGCTTAAAGCAAAGGAATAACTATTGGATCGTTCGTTGAAAAAAAAAAATTAAATACTATTTCTTTTTCAATTTTTTTTATTTATATATACACGATTCATAAAATTTCAATCTAAGAATCACTTCACTATTTCACAAACCATCACAAATCCGAATCTCAACTCTTCAACTCTCGTCAAAAAGTCTAAAAAAAAATATGAAAAGAATACATTCGAATACTATTCCATTATATATCCACCAAATTAAAAAAAAAAAAAAAAAGAAAAAAAACAGAATCATCAAACTTTTACGTTACGTATAAAACGATATATACATCGAAGGGTCGAAAAAAATAAAAAGATTCATAAATTTAATCATCACGATTTAAAATTGATAAAATTTATAGAATTTGGATTTCTCTCGTATTTACACGTCCAGAACGATTTTCGCCGCGAAAACGATCGCTCTTTCGTGGAGAAATCTCGGCGTGGGCGTCGACGTCCCGATGAAAAAAGAAGAGCGGAAAGAAAGATAGAGGAGGGGAGGAGGAGGGGTGGGGCAGACGGCGGCGAAAGAGGTCGAAGGAGGTAAATTGCCCCGAGATATTTAATCCCGTGGAAAGGCCGAGGGGATCCTTTATTGGCTCGGCGAGTGAGCAACGGCCAAGATAAGTTTCCCATAGAATCGATGGCCAATCGCGTTAAGCGATTTTCGCGCCTCGTTATCCTTTGTTTCCATCCGCTGGACGGACATCGATGCCGATGCTATCGCCTCCTTTCTCGCTTTTTCCTTATACCCTTCCTTGTCCCTCGTTGCCTTACGAGGGCCCCGCGATCGATTTTATTATCGTGTCTTCCTTCTTTGACCAGGGATATTCGGTGCCTTATTACTTAGAGATTGCTTGTTTGGAATTTTTGTTTTGATTTTGTCGTTGGATTTTTTTGCGATCGGTTTCTGATCAGATTGAAAGGATAGAGATTTCTTACGATAGATTTTATATCGTGTTTTCGTTCTTTGATTAAGGATATTTGATGCCTTATTACTTAGAGATTGGTTGCTTGGAATTTTTTGTTTTACTTTTCTCATTGGATTTTTTTGTAATCAGTTTTTGATTAGATTGAAAGATTAGAGGCTTTTTAAGATCGATTTTATATCCTTCTTTGACTAATATTTAACGTCTTATTATTCGATATTTTTGTTTTTAGTTAGAATTTTTCTTTTGATTTATCTTTTGTTGTTGTTTTTTTTTTTTTATCAGATTTTTAATTAGAATTAAAAGATTAGAGACTATGCATGATGTCTTTGTAATTTTGATTAAGGATAATATTTGATTATTTAAGTTAGTTATTTAGAATTCTTATTCTGATTTTTTGTTGTTTTGTCTTTTAAATTGGATTAGAGATCTTTTAAATAAGGTTTAATACAAGTTGAAAATATATTTACCGATATCATAAATATTTGGATTTCTAATGATAAATAGCATGGAATTATCTAGTTAGTGGAAACTTTATCAGAGATTATACTCAATGAAACGAAGTGGCGCGGCGTGCAGTATCTTTCGATCAGAATGGTTCCTCGGAGAATTCACGTTTGGGTTTGAGTGCAAACTACGAACTTGGCCAGGTCGCATCGATGGCGACTTGAAACATTAATCAGACGTACCTCGAAACATTAATCATTTAATGGAACCGGAACGGCATAACTCGGTTTTGATCCTTCGAAATTCCACGCTGCCAATTCTCCCGAGATTATCTCCGACACATTGACATTTTTAATATTAAATGATAATGTTATCGTGTCAACGTTTGTATGACAATTTGGAAAGTGAGATTGTGATAGATAATAAGTTTATATTATTAAACATTTGATATTTTATATATCATTGTAATGCAATTCTAACTTTTGAAATGAATTCATAACAAATAGTTAATTTATAATTATAAATAATTTATATAATTGTTGAATAAAGTAAATATTGATATCTCAAAAATTATAATTTCATATTTGTACAGTTTCTATATATCTATTTATAAAAAAAAATTAATAACATTAAATTATATTCTTTTACATTTTATAGTTTTATATTCATTATTCATGCAAAAAATAATTCACGAATTATTTGATGTATTCATATGTCACGTTATTTATTCTTTGTGTCATATATATTATTAATATATTCATAGAAAGTTCGTTTCCAGAGGCTTCAAACAAATACAATTAAATAAATTATAATTAAATAGATTGAGACTTATTTATTGA